CCCGCGCCTCTCCTCCAACGAGAAGCTCATGCTGGCCTCCATGTTCCACTCGTGAGTGCGGGCCGGGCGGGGCGGGGCGGGCGGGGCCGCGGCGCTCACCCTGACCCCCGCTCCCCCCCCGCAGCCTCTTCGCCATCGGGTCGCAGCTGTCGCCTGAGCCGGGCAGCTCCGGCATCGAAATGCTGGAGACGGACACGTTCAAGCTGCACTGCTTCCAGACCCTCACAGGTAGGCAGGCGCCCGCCCCCCCAACACAGCGGGGCTGGAGGCCCATTTTAGGATGCCTGGAGGCTGCAGGGCACAAAGCCAGCCGCAGCCGCGCGCGCGGCCAGGCGCCCCCTCGCGTGTCGCTCCCTCACACGTCGCCCGCTCCACTCTTCGCGCAGCGCGGCTCCTCCCCGCCCGTCCTCTGCCGCTTCCTCCCAGAGACATTTCTAATGGCATCATAAAACGAGTCTCCTTGCAGCCTTAACGGTTGTTTTGTCGCGGCTCCAGGGATCAAGTTTGTGGTGCTGGCGGACCCCCGGCAGGCCGGGATCGACTCCCTGCTGCGCAAGATCTATGAGATTTATTCAGACTTTGCTCTGAAAAACCCGTTCTACTCACTGGAGATGCCGATCAGGTAGGAAGAAGTCAAGACGTGCGTCCTAAAGGAGGCTGCATTTGCTCAGCTCTTCCCTTTGCGAGCACGACACAAACCCCAAGGCCAGGGCATAGAAAAGCTAGGAGTGGCCATACCTGGGCGGGGAGCAGGTTCAGACGCAAGTTAGTGCACAAGCCTGACACAAGTTAGTGCAATGCATGTCCCGTAAGCATTGGGTTCAGTGCTGCCAACTTCTTAATAAGAAGCCCTTCTGGCTTCCCCCTTGTTCTCCTGGGTCACTTGTCTAGGGGAGGTTAGGACCTTCTTGCAGTGCTGCTCTATTAGTGATGGGGGCTTCCCTGCAAGAGAAGCCCCTCCAAGGGGGCAGGCAGGCCTTGACCATCTGAGCCACACTCACCTTGGTTGCTTGCAGGGTGTAGAAGATGGGCCTGGGTTTTTGCTCCATAGCTGCCGTTTTGATAGGTGTGCATGTGTCTAGGTTGTAAATGGGGGTGTGAGCCTATTCTGATTCCTGTGAACATTCCAGGTGCGAACTGTTTGATCAGAACTTGAAACTTGCCTTGGAGGTAGCAGAAAAAGCTGGACCATTTGGACCTGGACCATAGGATATTTCCTTTGTCAGTCACCTGCAGGACCCTCCTTCACTGAATCAGCATGGGTTTACCTTCACCAGAAAACCTGTCCTGGTTCTTGCATCTGGCTGCAACAGCAAGGAAGCAGCTCTAGAGGGTTCAAGCAGTGCTGTGTCATGGTCAGGGATGCTGCTTTATTCCGTGTGTATGGGTTTAACCTGGCTTTAAAGCAAGGTCTGTTGTTATCAGATGCATGTATTCTGTGATCACAGTCCTGACATCACTGTAGGGATAATGGAAGGTGACACACAGCTTGGCAACAATACGCCAGCTGAATGCTTCCCATTACCCCCAATGTGTACATATGGTCTTTCTGTACAGCTTTAATTATTTAATAATAAACTTTCCCTA